TTGGTCAATCTTTGAACAATAAAATGACCTCAAAAATTGTTGAAATGGATAAAGATTTTTGTGGTCGACGGTTAAACAGAAAGTACCAACATTTTTCAAAAATCAATTTAGGTTAATAATTTCGGAATGCATTAGAAAAATATTCATTCTAAAACTTCCCTTTAGCTGCAAAGGGTGTCTGAAAACTGACTCGGATGACGTCGGAAAAACTTGGTTAAATAATTTACATATTCATTCTCTTCCTTAAGTCCATGGAAAATTTCTAATCGTACTAATTATTTCATTTATTGTTTACATATTATGGAACTGCATAAATAAAATTTTTAAATGTGAAAAACATTATTTATTAGTCGCTTTTTATTTAGTTGTTTTCTAACAGAAATCGTTGTTAAAAAACTAAATCAAAAAAATATATTTAAAAAAATAAAAAACTACAAAAATGGTGGTAATCCAACGTACATGAGCATTAACACCTACTAACATCGGCATAAGCATATTTTATTATTTTGTAACTGTAGCATTAAATTTGTAACAAATATTTTAAAAATGATTACTAAAAGCAATCAAAGTGGTAGGGGCGACGGTGGACACAACGGTTTGGACGTTGGCACGGCACTCATCATTGGAAGGTAAAGGTTCCGGGTTCGAATCCAGCGGCCCTGCATTCAAACCCAAAATACTTACAAATACTTACAAACCGGCACTCTGAAAGTTTGCAAGGTTGACAAGTGGTCTTGCTTCAGTTTTGCTTCTTTTGTAAATAAAGGACCGTAATAAGTAAGATAGATTTTTTTTAGAATCGGTTAGCAAAGTGATAATGAGTGGTGTTTTATGATTACGATTACGATGCCTGATTAATTAGAATTTTTGTTTACTAATCATATCAGCCTAATAGTCAAGCTTAACCAAATAATGCAAGATTAATGTTTCCGAATATTTCGTACGCAATTTTTTATAAACGCCATTGAAGTGCTTTTATTAGATTTCAATGTGATAATTGTAATACTTTAATTTTAATGGGCTAATAAGTGATACATTCTTATCCTATCAAATCATGACAGTTTAATAGCGGCCAGGCGAAACCAAACGATTCCAACTAACCTTCCATTCATCTGTTAGAAATAAGAGACTTAACGATATAAATACTAATGAGACCAGCTTCCTTATCTTATCTAAGTATGACAGTTAATAGCAGCTGGGCGAAACGGAACCAAGTAACCGTTTTAATTTACAAAGTAACGATTCATTTTTAAAGGATCGTGCGTGTTCGAATCCCAGGATTATATCTTGGGAAAGTTACTGGCAATTGACGACCGTTGTAGTGGCTCAGTTTAGAAGATTAAAACGAGGCTAGCGGTCAGCTCATTGTCGGGGGATTAGCCGGCCCGTTTAAAACTGTCCGGCAGTCGACTGTCCGTCCGCCCGACCAGCGTTCACTGTTGCTTTTAACGAAATTATCTCGGCAGGAATGCGACGAAGGCGACTATGCATGAAGGGGGACTTCACATTATTCTCCCACTCTGATTTTATCTTCAAAATCCTCTTAAAATATTCATTGACTGTTAATAGAATTCTCCCTTTGAATAGCCTAGGACGGACTGAGTTTCACGCTTTGTTCGCTTTTAATGGGCTGCAATCTTCTTCTTGAGTTCAAATTGTTCAATTTCGAAATGCGGGTACAGATCGTAAACTGGTATGATTACCAAGCCCACCTTATTATTATGCAATTTCGGAGTATTAATTACAAAATTTAAAAAAAAAAAACATAAAAACACGTTCTCTCATTATAAGATACTTATAGGCAAGAAAGTGAGAAGAGAATCTCTAAACTAGAATAGTAAGCGTTCATAATTTCAACCTTATCGCTAATTATAACAGAGATAATGTTCCGCATACCCAAGATCATCCATAATCTGCTAGAGCAAAGTTAAAGCAATAAGTCGCCGAAGTCCGAGATCAGCGGGAAGCATCGTCGACATTTATTCTCTAACGTGAAGCAAAGCTATAATTTTGGGAGTCACCACAAAAATTCAGTAAGCGGCCTACAGAAGTAGAGGGTCAACAGGAATGATGGACCTTTCTCTACCTCCAAGTTTCTCTTTTTTTATAAACGTTTCCCCTAAAATACCTTTGTTTTATTTGAAATTCATAGTACTTAATCAGTCGATTTAGGTTTGGACTTAATATAGAAAAATCAGGTTACATTGTGTTAAATGAGGCCTAGGCCAAACTTGGCCAAAATATTTTCGTTGAAAAAACCGAAAAACAAATCTAATTCTTTTTAAACACCCTTAAATTAGAACTTTTGTTTTAATAGAAAATATACAATTTTTGTTTATATTTTATTCCATTATTCCATTTAAAACTTTATAATTCCTCTTTATCTAATTTAAATTTCTAGTTCTTGGTTGTATTCCTTTTTCAGGTAATGTCAACAAATTTTAGATAAACTGGTTCATTATAAATGAGAAAAATTACAGTATCCAAAGATTAGAAAATGAGAATCATCAGCTTTAGAAATACTTTTAACCTACCTCCTTTTAACTATATACAAATAGAAGCATCATCACGTAAAAAATTCACATGTAAATAGTCGGTGAATTCACGCAAAATCTTTTAAATGGGAAATCATAATAGCTTGATATCTTAGTATGGTATGATATGGTATGGGTACTATCGCACAAAGCAATTCGGTGAGGTAATGTCCAAATTCAACTTTAATAACAACCGTTAAGATGCTAAACTAGTCTACTTTTAGCCTACGTCGATTGAATTTATGTACTTTAAAGTGAGAAAAATAAGGATGGCATCAACAAAAATTCCTGGAAGATTTTATTTTATATACTGGTTCTTTTTTTTTAGAGAGACATCAGATCCATACCATAGCGTATAGTTTTTGCTAATTTTTGTGATTTCCATAGGCAAAAAATAAATTTGTTTAAAATTTCACTTATTTTAAGGTGTGAATAACAAACATCAATTTCGTTTCTTACTAAAATGTATTTTTCTTATTGTATTACTTAATAAATTATGTAATATATTTTACAAGGCAGCGAGATTTTGCTGTTTCTTTCCGTATCAATATCCATATTTTTTCTCCAATAATGAGTATTGTTGGAATACCCTAAAAAAAGAGAAAATTTGCTTTCCAAATGGTATAATTATATTTGGATAAAATCTAGGGAAATTAAGAATTTTAAAATGGAACACAAGGCACCTTCGTGAAAACATGCGTTTGAGGGTTTTTATGGTCTTAAAACGAGTCACAGTTTTTCTCGGATACTGCTGGCAAGAACACTCGGACACATTACAATGATTTTTGACATAGTATCACGTTTAATTAAAATCAGTCGTCAGGCGATCCATTTGTTTGTATCAAGCTAACAACAAAAACGACCAGTGTATAAAGCTAACATTTCATGCTGCAATATTCGTATCTAAGACAACAGATTCAAAGTTCCGATTTTAATCGTTCTAAATCACCACAGAAACTTTCGGGTATCATTTCTGGCTTATGTGCACTGTGATATTTGTAATTAAAGACATCCTTCTAAGGTGTGGATTGTTATCTTTATGGATGGAAACTCCTGTATGTAATTCCGAACCTACAACTTTCCCGATTAAGTCCTTGATACTTTTTGCTGTCTTGCGTTACGAATTTCTGTCTGATTATCACTTATGATTATCTATGGTAACGAATATTGTACAAGTTTAGCTTGCAGTTATTTTACAATATAAAACTAAAACCTATAATCAATTTGAGAGCATTTCTAACCCTTTGCAACCAAAACATACTTTAATAATAATTTAACTAGTCAATTTGTATAAATTTATGTTTAACACCTGCCCGATATTTTGAAAAAATTAATCGTGTAGTCTATTACACTGTGCTTTTAAAAGACAAGTTTGTAACTGTGTAATTTTTGTGTAAATTTTGAAAATATAATATTTTTACTGATTTATTAGAATAAAAGGCAACATGTTTTTGCTACTTGGGTGTTTGCTTTTTTGGAACTTGAGAGGTGTTTTTCTAGGCCATTTTATAATGGGTAACTTGTTTTAATATTAATAACAATGGATAATATCATGAATATATTTGACCCTGAGACATATATACTGAAACTAAATAAATAAACAATATATGTACAGAGTAATGTAACACATTGTGTGTAGCATAATATTCAGGTAATTTGATTTCCTCCTAACATGTCCTAATCTTGAGCTATTTTGTAATACAGAAATAACTCAAAAACAATTTGCAAAAGCTGTAGGCAGATAAAAGACAGATTTTTATAAATTAATGTTTTTATTCTTGATCTTGATATTCAATTCAATAATATTTTGATATAATAATTACTGTTTGTGACAACCAAAAGATTGAAATTGAAAGGTTTTCTGTTTAGATGCTGTAAGCGTCTGTGTAAAAATATAGTTCACTTGCAACAATAAACTATGCGTGCAGAATGGAATGTGCCAAGTATGTGGAGATCTTTTGTCCGGCAATATGGTGTGCTTGTTTGTTTCTCCAGTGTTCGTTCGCCGGCAAGGACGGTAATAAAATTAGCCCCCTGTGTGTCGGTCTGGGTTTCCTTATTATACACACTTCCGTAATTTTTTCCCATTGCTTCCTACACGCATCCTTAACATGTAATATTAAGATTGTTTCACGAACAAAAGGTACGCATAATAATAGGAATCAACTGTAATTTCGCCAATGCAAAAATGTATATGATAATCAATGTAAATGAGTAGTACGCATTATTGATAATATCTGAAGAACTTAATTTTGTTAAGACTACGTTTTCACCTTTATTCCTTATGAGTGTTTGTCTTGTTTGACACAAATTGGAAATTTTTTATATGTAATCATTATCATGTCATATTTCTTTATTCGCCAAGCATGATATAGCTGTTATGTCACTTCAGATAAGCTACACTTGGCACTAATATGACAAACACTGATAAGGGGTAGCATGATTGTATATTTCATTGAATTGGTTCTTATTGAAAAGTGTTCCAGGGTATTGCATAAGCCAGCAGGTTGTGAACAAAAATGGAAAGCCGTGCTATGGAATGTGAGGGCCTAAGGGTATGTATGGTTAGCTGTTTATTACGTGTCCTTTGGACAGCACGTTTTTATTTATTTTCCATTTGAAATATTTATATTAACAAATTAATGGTAATTGGAAAATTAAAATATAATAATAGTAACAGGGCGTCGGTGGCTACTACGGTTTAGGCGTTGACACGCTGTTCATCACTGTAAGGTAATGGTCCCGAGTTCGAATGCAGCGGCCCAGCATTCGTATCCGATATACATACAAATGGGCTTTTTTTTTCAAAAACACCGGCACCCGAGGGTTGATATGACCTCTGCTGTTGCGAACCCTCTTAAAAAATAATAATAATAATAGCAATCGGTAGTTTAATTTAGCGACAAGCTCCAATAAGATTTGTTCCGCAAATAAAAAAAATGAAATTGAACAAAAACGTCTTTCCAAACCGGACACACGTTATTATTTGTTATTCGTGGACAGAAACACACAGTTTAACATAGGTTTTAAGAGATAATGAAATAATAAATTGACTGTCTACTGTTAATCATGATCTTATTATACAGGGCGTCACGCGAATAGATATCACTAGTTCTGGAGGTTATTCTACATGTAAAACTAGACTAAAAGTCTTTAGTCTACGTTGTCACATAAAGTTGTGAAAGGTTGAAATAACCTTGAAAAGTGAAATATCTCGAATACAATTGAGATCAGCCTTTGAACAATGAAGAAGTTTTTGTTTAGAATGGATAAACCTCCTAATTTATTGATGCCTGCTGACGAGACACCCTGAATAGTTTCGAATTTATTTTTTTCAGTATTTACAGGGTTAGTATATGTTATTACATAAGTTTTGGTTTTAGCCCATCTTCAGTGAGGAACTGTAGAACATATGTCGTAGACGACCATCACCACCAACAAGCTGCCTTACACTCTTGTTATATCTATGACAATAACTCAAGAGGAAATTAAAAAAAACAGGTGAATCAGAAATAAGTGATTTCTATATACAAACCTCATTTACCAAACAGCATTTCCTTTAAGCAAATTTAAATCATTCAGAATATCTTTATTTAAAAAAATATCGGATTTTAGCTATTTTTTAATGGTCGATTAATCCAAGTATCTTGTTAGAAAGTTGACTAGAAAAGAAAGCCCTCGCGTAATGAGTAGTAAATCAGTAGAAAGATTAGTCAGGTCTAAATTATCTTCTCCGGATAAAAAGAAAAAAGTAATGGTTATTAATTGAATGAAAGTAAGGTTTACGAGAAAGGCGGAGGGGATCAAACTGAGGACATCAACTCCGTAAGAAAGTAGTCGTTAGAGTCTGATTTAAATTTTTTCTCCGTCCGACTCTCGAGGGCCAAATGTAATGAGTTCTGTTTTAGCGGCTCTCCGAGTTGGTAATGAGCTGTTGGCAGCGGTGGCATGCAGAAATAACAGGGATGAGTGTAGACATAAGTGGGAAGGTTTACCCCACCACACGATTTTACCCTCGGGCTCTCAACACTCCCACAACACGCCTCTCCACTCTTGTTTACTCCTTCATAACCACATCCGACCTTATGAACCCTCCTCAGACACTTTTCCATCGGACGTATTTTTAATTTTGTTCCTTAATCGATTCTCCTTCCTCGCTTTTTAATTGCGCCGAATCTCTTTTTTTGACCCATTGTGCACGACTGGGCGCGTTCTTACAACCACCCAGTGCGAAACTTCTTCAAATCATTTGTTTTAGGTTTTCTAGGTCGGTGCCCTTTTGGCCGTTGAGTTTTTGAATTCATCAGGACGACAGATTCGGTGATGCGTGGAACCACAAATCCCTAGCGTTACAAAATTTACTTTTATCTTATATTTAAGTAGGATAAAAAATAAATAATCTTCAACTCAAAATGCGTCTATTAAAATCCCATAAAACCTCCAGTCGTTCAGTTGTCATGTTCTTATGCCAAATTATTTCATATCATCATTCTGAGGTTTCTATGATTTTCCCCTATATTTTACCCTTTTGTTCTACTCTTTCTCGTCAGACTCTTTTCCAACAATCAAATTTTTAATTTCATTCCTAAATTTATTCTTATTGCTTATTTTCCTTTTATTTTTGACACGGTACATACAGCTGGGAGCGTTCTTACAACTTCTAAGAAATATCTTCAAATCTTTGTTTTAAATGTTCCTCGTGGCTGCTTATTTTTTGAATTCATCAGAACGACAGATTTAGAGCTGTACATACTAGCACACAAACGAACTCCGTAGGATTACAAAATTTATTATCATATATTTAAGTAGGACAAAAATGCATAGCTTTCAACTCAAAATGCATGCATTAAAATCCACTAAAACCCCCGGTCTGTTGAGTTGCCATAATTCTTATGCCAAAGTGTTTCATATCAACATAAATTATTTAGAGTCCTCTATGATTTTCCCCTATATTTTACTCTTTTGTACTTCTCTTCCTCTTCAAACACTTTTAACACCCTCAATTTTTTTTATTTTGTTCCAAAATTTATTAACATTTATCATTGCTTGTTTTTTTGACACTGTTCTGCACGGCTGGGAGAATTGTTACAACGACCCAGCGTGAAATAGCAATCATTTGTTTTAGGTTTTCTAGGTCGGTGCCCTCGTGGCTGTGGAGTTTTTGAATTCATCAGTGCGACAAATTCTGGGATGCTTGAAACACAAACTACCTAGGATAGCAAAATTTACTTTATCATCTTTTAAAGTAAGCTAAAAATAAATCGTTTTACTCAAAATGCATTAAAAACTTCGGTCTGTTAAGTTTTACTATAGTTATTATATAAAATTATTTCATATCAATAAAAATACTTTTGGGAGATTTTGTACTTTTCATTTCCTTGTCCTGTTTTTCTGTATTCTACCTCTTCAGACTTTTTTTCTAACTGTTATATTTTCAGATTTCATTTGTTTTGCAAAAAGAGTATTGGAAGAGAAATTATTTATTTTTAATCAAGGAAGTCCTAATAGTTATTATTTTAATTTTGTTTAACTAATTTTTATATAATTATTTTTGTGTTACACTACCTAATAAAAATGTATTTTATTTTTGAAAATTAATTCTTTATTCAAAAAATTTCCAATCTATCAAGTTTGTTTATAGTTCTTATGTGTCATTATTTCATATCAACATAAATTCCTTTAAAGTGTCTTGCATTTTTCTCGTTTTACTTTCTTTTTATAATATAGCCATGAAGAACGAACAATAACACAGTATTAATTTCCTGATAACGTAAACTTATGGGAATATTATTAGAACATATAACATGTCATACAATTTGATAAAAAATTTGATGTACTTGATCCCCTCGAGTCTGTAAACGAGATATCCTTTCTCAGATTGTTAAATGGCAAATATGTGATATTAATCCTGCGTCGTAACCCTTTCTCATAGCCAAAACGTATGAAGTTTAGTAGTAGTTTGCACTGCCTACCTTTCCTATTCTAGCCTTTCATACGGTTTTTGAGATTTTGTTATCGTCAGTCATATAAAGTTTTGTGATACCTAGAACAAGCAAGAGTAAGTAACTAGGATCGGAGAAACTATCACATTAGAGGTTCATCAGACTCATGTGTAACGTGTATATTAAATAGTTTCCCGTTTTATCCATCGCTTTGCAAGCACAAAATTAATTGAACGTTCAAAATACAGAAAATTTGAAAACGAACAAATTTTTTGACAGTTTGGTACATATTATCATAAATTAATTACACAGATCAAGATAATAATTTGTTAAAGTAATTACACTGACAATAAAATCCCAAGGTCAGACAGCAGGCGGCCCAAGTTAAAATGTCACAACCTAAAGTCTGTGAGTATACCTACAACGTGGGAAAACATAAGAAACTAACAATACCTTTGGTGACAGTGAATTTTGGTTAAAGAACAAGCAGACTGGTCAGAGTAGGAAATGCAAGAACAGTAATAAAGACGGAATATAAACTCCTCCGTTTCAGAGAAGGTCGACCAAAAAAAGAAATGGATAAACCCCAGAGTGCCAGACGTAGTAAATTTATGAATCCTCAGCCTCACTAAAACTGGCAAACACAGTGCTATAGCTATTCAGGGTAAAACTCAAGAGGGTAATAAGCATATATATTAATCGCTGGCACCCAAGAAAACATTTTCAAAACTATAGTCAATGAAAAGAAACAAACTGTATCCCATTATATCTTCGAATTGGAAACAACTATTCAATTAAAACATAACATATGCTACCAACATGACCCAGGAAAATTAATTGCAGCTAAAATAGTCAACAACTGTCACCTCCTTGAATAGAGAATATATAAATACAAAGATTGATTATTTCACCAGAACGAAAGCTACTATATATTAAGATTGATGTGAAATGTTGATAATTGTCAGATTAAACGTCAATCCGGTCAAGATGTTATATATGACTCAGGACTGGAAAAATAGGTGTAAAATTCAATGCTAAAGCAATCAAATAACACGATATAGAATCGATAATTTCGGGCTTTTGACATGTCACAATTGCGTCCTCCGAGTTAATAAATGTTCTATTGAGGGCGGGATGATCAATCTCGATGGCAGCTCTATGGGTAATTTTTAAGTATATCCACTCCCATCGCCCAACCTACCACAGTACAATACAATTGTCACTAGAGGAGAAAAAAACAGTAGATGCTAACAGTAGTTGGTATTACCATAAGTAAAAAATATTTATAACAATTGACAATGAGAATTTAACAAAGAGATTTCGCCTTTAACGATTGAGAGAAATGATATTTTATCACAAAGTTGGATCTCGCTTTGTTTCTTTCACGTCTCGCGGACGGAAAAGGGTTTCGTAATAAAAACCAACTGCACTCCCCTTCCGCGCCTGCTTAAACTTCACGTCTGGCTGGTCAAAGGGTCCAAATCTCAGTGAAAAAAATTCACGATTCTCACACCCAAATAAAAATCGTGGGAAAGGGTGAACAACACGCGAAGTGTTTGCAGAATCTAACAATAAGTATCGGAGCCAGAAAAAAAGAAACGTTTCAAATTTCGATAAGTTAAAATAAGTGAAAAGTGCTTTTCTATGTTCTGTAAAAAACAAACAACAAAAACAACCTTGTTATAAATCGATGTGCTCAGGAGATCTATATCATATAAATATTCATACTACATATACATATGTGCATGCCAATTTAAACATACATGAGAAAATAATACCCAAAAAATAAGAATGAATGGTTTCATCGTTAATTATATCTACTACCAAAGAAACTCAATAAATGCTATACAACAAAACCCAAAACCCAAAAAAAGAACCTTCTTCATCAAAAACTATGTGTGGTGTTTAGTGACCGTTAGCCAATGATTATTTGTAGATTGTGAGATGCGGTCTGGTGGGACGTAGGTTTTAGAAAATCATTTTCTTTCTCGTGCCAACGTTTCGATCATGATGAGAAAAACCAAAGAGGTAGATAGATAGATAGATAGATAGATAGATAGATAGATAGATAGATAGATAGATAGATAGATAGATAGATAGATAGATAGATAGATAGATAGAGATAGATAGGTAGATAGATAGAGAGAGAGAGAGAGAGAGAGAGAGAGAGAGAGAGAGAGAGAGAGAGAGAGAGAGAGAGAGAGAGAGAGAGAGAGAGAGGGTGTAAAAAGGGAGAGAGAGAAATGAATGAAAGAGAAATGGAAGAGGGATATAGAGACAGAAAGAGAAAGAGAGAGAGAGAGAGAGAGAGAGAGAGCAAATAGATAAAGAGATAATTTCGTACATTTCGCTAATTCCAGGTATTATTTCACTAAATTTATCCTTTATCATTTTAGCCAATATAAACTTATTGTCCACAGTAAATGTATATATTTTCCTCTAAAAATAATAAAAGAAATTATCAAATAAACTGTTGAAGTAGTGCATCATTCAATTTAGCAATCTATCTATATTAAATCTTACAAAATATTTAATTTTAAATTGATTTATTAAATCCTTTTGTTCTGAGTTCTCACATATTATGAATTTTTTTCCTTATTCTTTATATTTTTCAATTCAACACTTTTCAAACATTTGTTTTCTTCCTCGCATATGGAGGATAAATTAATATTTTACATTTCGTTAAACATTTCGATTTTTATGTGACATTGTTGTCTACTCGCGATTTCATCCATCATTAATCCACATATTAAGAAATGAAATCATATTTATTTGGATTCTTCATCCTGTCCTCTCGGATGATATCGATTGCCGAGGAAATGAGTTTTGTCACTTTTTAGGGTGTCCCAGTAATGATGGATGATGTCGAATTTATATTCTATGGAGAAAATAGGCAATTCCGAGGAGGGTTTTTTGAGAATGCGATTCGCATGTGCGGTCCCCAAAGTACATAAAGCTTGAAGAAGTAGCCCTTATCTAGAAACAGCCTCGCCACACAAATGAGCCTTCCGCCACATCGCATCGGCCCTGAAAAAGCCGTTCATTGTTCTATTTTCCCCTTATATTCTTAATTAAGCAAACGTATTTTCATATCCAAAAGATAAGGCGGAGTGATCCATTAAAGCGCTCTGTGTCAACACTGCTTGTGGCTCTCCTAATGGAAACAAAAGAACAGGATACGTCTTTTTTACGGCTCCACGGTGAAACATTAATGGATTTAACCGTGTAAGAAAATTGATAAATGACCACCCTGTAAATATGTAAATATTCTGTCGTTTGAAAATTAAATCTTTGTATAAAAACTAATGTAAATTACTCAGACTCATTTTATTACTTAATTATCCCTCTATTCATAAAAAAGTTACCAATGAACTGCATTGCTATTATTAATTATGTTTTTATATTAAGTACGTTTGTATCAATCAATTTGGCAATATTTTAGTCAGACATTTCATGATGGAAAATCCAATATGACCCGTAACCTTCGGTGAGAAACGACAGATCTGACTTTTAGCAACGTATTGTCAAGGAATTGTTTTTATTATTTAAACGAATGAATATGCCCACTTAGTAAAATACTTAAAGCGTGATTTTTAACGTGAGGCACACTCGTAAAAGGTAGCCAAATTTGATGATGACGCAACGTATTCGGACTCAGCAAAGTGCGGGTGATTCAGTGGCCCCTGTTTGCGAAGGCAGTCGATTAATAGTTTGTTTTGTCTGCGATCCGTGGGATGAATGGTATATAAGCAACCAACAAGCGGGTATCAGCTCTGTAAACATTCCGGTTGGTCCGCCACGGTCGTAAACACCGTCCGCGTACCGATATAAAAAGGTCAGGAACATTACAATTTGTTTTCAATCTTATATTACTATATTTCTTATAATTAAATATGACAACAATCTATGGATATAATATCGGAACATAAAATAAAATAGTAGTTATAGACTCCTCAAGCAATTTTATGAAATTTAATTAGTCATTTCATGTTGATTGTTAATATTTTCTTAGCATGTTCGTCCGTCAATCCCTGATCACTCTGTCTCCATTACCTTTCTCCCTCTTTCTTTCTGCCCTGCATATTGCCCATTATTTTTGTTTTTGGGTTCCATTCTCACTCACACTTTTTCTCACTCTGTCTGACTGTCTGTCTGTCTCTCTCTCACTCTCTCTCACTCTCACTCTCTCTCTATCAGCATATCTCTTTATCAGTCTATCTCTCTCGCTCTGCCTTTCTTCCTCTAATTGGTTAGCTCTCTCGCCAACACTTCTCGCGCCCTGTTACGCACTCTCTCACACTCTATCATTCTTTTTCTCCCTCTGTCTGTTTATCTCTC